TGGTTGCAGTGGCTCAGGTCCAGCTTGGCGAGCTGGGGCGTGTGGCGGACGACGAGGCGCAGCGAGGAGTCCGTGATGTCCAGCCCCGACAGGCGCAGCTCGGACACGTTCTGCAGCCGGCCCCGGCTCTCGGTCTGACCTGGGGGAGCAGGGACAGGTCGGCTCCCTGCAGCACACCGCCCCCTGGTGCCGCACTGGGGAACAGCGCCCCCGCGAACCCCTGAACTCTGCAGCACACCGCCCCCTGGTGCTGCACTGGGGCACGGCGCCCCCTAGTACCCACCTGGCTTGCTGTCCGTGGGTGGCAGCAGCAGCTCCCGGAGGTGCGAGTCCTTGACGTCCTCGATCCAGCGCAGGTCGAGCAGCCGCAGCGAGGGGAAGCTGGCGGTGCTCAGCGCCGAGACGGAGCACCACGAGCAGCCCGTCAGGACCAGCTCCCGCAGGCCTGCAGGGGGCAGCAGAGAGGTGCCGCGTCAGGGAGAGAACCCAGGAGCACCTGGCTCCCATTTCCCCCGGGCTCTGAGCCACCAGGCCCCACTCCCCTCCCGGAGCTGGGAAAAGAACCCAGGAGTCCGGGCTCCCAGCAGCACCCCCTACCCTGTAGCCTGTTGATGAGCCACATGAGCTGCTTCTTGGAGATGTTGGTCCAGCTGAGGTCGAGGCTGGCCGGCTGCCGGCGGATGATGCCGCTCAGCATAGACGGGGTGATCGATTTCCGGCGGCTCAGGTCGATGCGGGTCCACAGGCGCTTATCACAGCACCTGGGGGGGCGGGGGTGGAGAAACTTAGAGAGCACCACTACTACAGTCAGTATGGTAGCAGTACCAGCATCCCACCTATGCCCTAATGCGATCAACACGGGAAAAGTTCCCGCGGTCATCCCGTCTAGCACAGCTTCCACCTAGAGCACTAATACAATCAATACGGTAATAGCACCAGCCCGCCGCCGCCGCCTCTGAATCCGGTAAAATTGTATTAATTCCGTAACAGAAATAGCACCAGCCCTGCCTCCTCTAATACAACCAATACGGTAATAGCACCAGCCGCCGCCTTGTCTAATACAATCAATACGGTAGGGATACCAGCTTCTCCCCACTATACTGGTATATAAGGCCCTACTTGATTTGCGATATTGCCGACCCCTAATTCTGTCAGCCGGGAGCCCTGGCTGTGGGCCCCCCCAGGGGCTCCCTCTCTCAGCCCCCCCCCCCCCCGTTAATGACTGTAATATAGGTGCACCAAGCTATCTGGTTATCAAAAAAATAAATCAGCCGGCATCACATAATACTTGTTCCAGCCAATGTCTCTGAAATACGCCGCTCTTCTCCGGCTCTTCCAATTACCGCCATTAATAAAGGTCCGTTAGTACTTTGCCGGGACTTTCCATGTCTTGGCCGCCACTCAGCCGCAAGCATTGGACAAGCATCCCAGAACTCAAGTAGGGCCCCACTTATACAGTCAATACAGTGAGGGCAACAGGCATCACCGTCTCTAATACAATCAATACGGTAAAGGCACTGGTTTCCAGCCAGTACGCTAATACAGTCAATACGCTAATACAGTCAATACGGTACAGTAACCCGGCCCCGCCCTCGTTCCCAGGCAGCAAAGCGCGACCCTGCAGCTCCCCCATGTGGCCACAGAGACCATTGCACCCTCTGCAGCCTGCAGCGCCCCATGGGACCCATGGCCCCCCCCCCAGCACCTACTGCCCCATGTCTTGCTCATGGGACCCCTTCCTCCCGCCCATGGGACCCGCAGCCCCACCCCTGCCCCCCAGGGACCCACAGCCCCCGGCCTGCCCCCAGAGACCTATCACCCCACATCCCGCCCATGGGACCCACAGCCCCCCAACCCACCCTCCCAGGACCTGCTGTCCCATGGGACTTCTACACCCTGTGCCCAGGGACCCCCCACAGCCCCACACTCCTCCCCCTGCCCCCAGTGACACTCTCCTTCCCCACAGGCTGCAAACCCAGCCCTCGTTTCAGTCCCTGACAGCCCCATACCAGACTCCAGTTAGGGCTCAGGAACGTGGCCACTCCAACACAGCGCCCCCTAGTGCCGTCCTTGGGCATCAGGGCCAGCCCTGGCTGCCAGGGGAGAGCGTCCCCTGCTAAGCGCCCCCCACACTCCCCGCAGCGCAGCGCCCCCTAGTGGTGCACAGGGTTCCTACAGCTTGCCAGCCTTCACCCTGCCCCCTAGTGGCACAGTGGGGTACTTCAACACCCTTCCCAGCACCACAGCACCCCCTACAGGGGCCGGGGGGGATTGTAGCTCCTCGGCGTCCCCCAGCACCCGCCTGCCCGCCGGCGCTTACCATCGGCTCCAGGTCCGACACACCCGCATGCAGACGCAGAGCTCGCGGTAGCTGAGGTGCTGGAAGACGGCCAGCCAGACGTCGCGCTGCATGACGTGGTCCGAGCCGCTGTCCAGGGGCAGTGAGTCCGGCTCGGGGCTGTCGGGGGGCGGGCGCACCACGTGCCGCTCCAACTGCAGCAGGGGCTTGGGGGGCGAGGGCACCAGAGGCCACTGGAGGAACTGAGTCCGGGCCACCATGTGCAGGCCTGTCTGCCCGGCCGGCCGGCCGCCCTTCCGGCCCCCGGCCTGCTGCTTGGCTCGCTCGCCCCCCCTGCTGGCAGCCCGGTGGTGGTTCTCCTTCTCCTGACAGTTCGCCCGCGGCCCCTTGGGCTGCTTGCCGTTGCGGGCCGCCTCCGAGCCCCCGTTGCGGCCTTCCTCCTCCTCCTCGTCCTCCTCGTCCTCTTCCTCGCTGGCGCTGAAGCCGAGGGCGGCCAGACGCTGGGCCCGGGAGGCGGGCGAGGCGGCCCGGCTGGAGCCCCCGCCCACACTGGAGCCCTCCGAGCCCCGCGAGTCCGTGTCCGAGTCCGAGTCGGAGCTGGAGCTGGAGCTGCTGCTGTTCTTGACCCGCTCCAACATCTGGCACATCTGCTTGAAGCGCTCCAGCTTCTCCCGCTGGTGAGACTTGTCCGACTGGGCAGAAGGCTCCAGCGGTCCCTGAGGTGCCTTGGTTTTCTATGGGGGGGGGGGGGGGAGGGGGGGATGGGACAAGAGGCCCCTTCCCCTCTAGGGGGCACCAGCTCAGATCCAGCCCCAGGGCAGGGGACTGGCTGGCTCAGGGGGGCAGGGAATGGGGC